CGGCTTTGGCCAATTGATCGACAAACCTCCCACTTTTATCGACCAACCCTACTTAACTGAACATAATACTTCAATTAGAGGCTGAAAAGAACGTGATTGTTCAGGACTTGCTAGAAAAATTTCAACTTAATTCGGTATAGGACGAACATGCCGTTAACCGAGTTTAACATGAATTTCTTTACGAATATCTGAAAGTTCTTCGAACAATTCACTCTGAATTGAACTTACTAACATGATCATGAATCGAGGAGGAAATTTACCTTGCTGATTGCTCGACCGAAACCAGACAATAGACGTGGCTCCCTTCCTCGCGATTGTCGTGCGGTCACCTTAACCTTTGCCGTGCGATATGCGATGGAGATTAGGGAATTTTGCTTAAGTTTTTGTTGCTGAATGGGGGAGTATGAAGAGGAAATGTTTTGCTGAATTTCCCTTAAGAAACGTGGGCAAAATTTATCCCCAACCATGCCTTATATAATAAGCCGTAGGGGGAGATGAAGGTGACGGAGGGTTTATGTGGCTACTTGATCTCTTGACACTTGCTTTATCCTTAGTTGATTTAAGGTGACTCATCAACTCCTTTTGCTGCCACGTTTTATGCTAAATTTTTGAGGAGGAAAATGGATGTCCGAATGTTGAAGGAAGGCTACGGCTTTAATTTCCTTTGATGATTCCTCACACGGCTTTAATTACTAAATGGGGGAAACATTTCTTAAGTCATGACATTTAATCATTAGGTCACGGCTAATTGGAAATTAATGATGATTAAGCATCAATTAATTACTAACTTTATGTTTAATTATCAATTAAACATAATGCTTAATTACCAAAATTATTTCGGACGTAAACGGTACGCCGAAAATAGATTTCGGTAATCTCGACTGAACTTAATTAATTCCGAAAATAATAAACTATAACATTATTATATCGGAACTAAAACGTACTTTATACCGATAAAATATCGGGATATTACATGTAATCTCCCGTTAGGGAGTGTGTGTATTCTCCCGCTGGGGAGTGGGTATTCTTCCGTTGGGAGCTTTTTATTTGTGTATTTGTTTTGTGGCTTATTAGGCTACCTTTGGGAGGCCTCCTTATTCCGGCTAGTGAGTCGGTTGTAAGTATGTGTTTTTATTAATGAAACCTATTGTTTCGAAAAGAAAAAGTAACAACTGAAGCCATTGGAAATAAACCATCCAATTTCCACATCTAATGGCATACTCATCAATAAGGTTCCTAAACAATATTGTAATACTTATTTCAAAATCAGAAATTCAAGTCATGCACATCAATTCAATTCATAATCGAAACCTATTGTCCAAAAACAATCATATAAGTATGCAAAATGATAACAATAAGCGGAAGAATAAAAGCAGCTCCTAATAACAGATAATAATGACCTCGCTCGCCCGCCTTTTGGCACGACCACCAGCTCAACCTGAAAAGGGGAAGACAATGGGGTGAGCAAACAACAAGCTCACCGTGGGAGCATCAAGAAATCTATTCAACATAATGACTTAAAATCATAACCTCAACATGAGCACAAATCACCTAGTCTACCTCTTATGCGGCTCTAATACTATCTCATGTGTACACCTAGCTCCTGACGGCAAAACCCCTCGTCGGGAACTAACCACTGGCAAAACCCATCAGTGTAGCAATATTCAAAGGCACAATAATAGGAAGCCGTTGGCAAACTCATCGACGGATGAAACATACATAGACTAGTGGTTCACATGCATACATTGATTAGCAAGTCAAACAATTGTAAAGAATAACGACATGGTAAGGTTTATCAACACCTACCCTAACTTGAATAAGTTGGTGAGGCTCGACTTCCTCAGAAACCTACATTTTAAATCAAGATAATATCTCAAAGTGTCGATAACTCAAAATTTCATCACAAATTCCTACTTAATCAAAATTATCGATAAAGTAATTTGTGTAATTTTGTGGTATTTAGAACTCTCGGATTCAGGGGAAATACTTGGAAAAATATTT